AAAATATACAACAAATATTTTAAATTTTTGATTGAAAAAATTTTCTCTCTATAAAAAACTTGTAAAAAGTTTTAAGTTTTTAAGATTTTATTCAACTCATTCTATTCAATTTATAGTTATCTTTTAAACACGATATTGAGTTTGATTTAATATATGTCACAAAGATGGCAGAAATTGATAATTTTGATGTAAATTGACAGCATATTTTTAATTCACAAAGCTGCGTACAAGTATTGATGGAGAAGATCCAGAATTTATTATTTGTTATGGTAGCTATGGTGCATATATATAAACAATTGAAGCAATAAACCTGGGCTGCTGGGTTGCTTTTATAAACAAGAAGCAGTCAATTCAGTTTTGAATATTTTTTGAACTAATTAATGCAAACAGTTTTTCAACATAGTTTTCACTATGTTTATATTTAAATATATCTTTGTGTTTGTTGTGTTATTTTTCAATATTAATGTTCAAAAAGATAATGCCCAAACACTAGGAAATTCATCAGCTGAAAAATCCAAAAAAATGAGTGTATGGCTCATACAGCTTGGTGCGTTTTAAATTTTCATGATAGACCGGATAGATTTAAAAAGTATTGTCATTTTTCGGATAGATTTGAAAAGTATTACCATTTTTTAATAAGGTTAAATTAACAATTTAGACCACCACCGACACCTGCTGATCCTCCAGAACCTGCAGATCCGCCAAATGTTGCTGATTCTTCATGTGCAGTATTTGTCCCAATGACATAGAGACAAAAGAAATTTTAATACCTGTAAATATATTTTTTTGTACATTTCTTCAAAATTTTGAATGCAACATTTGTGTAACAGTGCAAACACTTTCGTCCAATTTTTCACTCAACTTTTAACGATACCCTAAAACCTCAAAAAGTAATTTGGATTGGACATGGATTCAAAAGTAGTGGATGGTGCACTAAATGCTTCCCTTAGCGAAAGCGAAGAACGATCCAGACTTAGGTTTCAGTTAGAATTAGAATTTGTTCAGTGTTTGGCTAATCCTCTTTATCTACAATGTGTGTAAAATCTTCAAAAATAATTTTTTATTTTTTTCAACTAGTCTTGGCACAGCAACAATACTTTAACAGCAAACCATTCCTGAATTACCTGAATTATTTAAAATACTGGCAGAGGAAAGAATATTCTACTTTTATTGTGTAAGTTTGCATAACCTAAACAAAAATTATGAGGTAGCCAATAAAATACAAAAATTTGAATACAATTAACATTTATATGCAAAATTTTGCTTTGCTCAACCACTAATAGAAATTTGAATTTGCATTTAACATGTATAATTTTTATTCAAATTTAGTTATCCAATTTGCTTGGAAATTTTAGATTTATTACAAAATCCCAGCTTTCGAGAGGCGACTGCAAGTTCAGAAATTGCAACCTTCATTCATCATAAAGGTACCCTTTCTTAAAAAAAAAAAAACTTCATTTTAGTTTTTAATTTTTTTTTTTGGTTTAGAGTTTTTTCATTGGCAACACCGGAGAGTTTTTACAGGTGTGAAGGACAATAATGATTTAAAAATTAAAAAAGAAGTCGAAAATTTTGATATTGGAAATTCCACCAAATCTGAAAACAGTGGTGAATCGGTGAAAGTAGAAGATGCTGAACAAATAGATGAATTGAATATGGGTGATTTAGTGTTTAAGATTTTAAATATTAAATAAATAATGTTTATACTTCGTTCTGAGTTTTTTATTTTTTATTTTTTTTTTTGGGAAGTGCATTAACGTAAGTTCTTAGTGTAAGTTCCTCTAACAAATATTTATTTCAGATTGCGTGTATTGAACTTAAATTTTTATTTTTTTTTTTAATTGATGTAATTGAAATTTTAATAAACCAAACAAAAAAATTTAAAAATAAAACTTTATAAAAATTATTTTAAGAAAAAAATATCAGATCAACTCTATGCAGCTAAAGGACTAATAATTCTGAATAAACTTGGTCTAGGAGTTGTTCGAGTAATACCTGTGTAAACAAAAAAAAAAATTTAAAAATAAAAAATAAACTGACGTGTATTTTATATTTACCAATATATAGAACTAGCGGTATAAATGCAACATGTATTAATCTTCTAGTATAATCGATCAGTTTAAAAATCTTTTCTCTGGTTTCTTCATTCATTTGTTTTAATTTATTGAAATTAAATTTTTT